GGTGGCCCCAAAATTGAGAACAGTTGTCTTCGATCACCATCCGTGCAAAATTCAAAATTCCTACCAAAACTGGAAACACTCTAGTCAGAATAAAAACAAACACACAGAAGAATGGCAAGTAATGAGACATTGCAGAAGTCTACGGGCGCCGCACCTCCTGGGTTGTCCCTGGTGGTGAACTCGGTCAAGGTCTCGCCTCTCGGAACTCTCAGCACGATGATGCGGCTTCTCAATATCACAAGGAGTCTGCCGAGGAAAAACACAGTATGAGGAGAATGACATGACTCAGGGTTACGTTATCAACCGTAAACTCTCAACTAAATCCTACATACTTTCTATGCTAGATGTGCTGCATCTCTGGCTGAAGGCAGCTGGATCAGAAAAGTAGAGTAAAACCTTTACAGCCAACAGGCGTCTCATTCGCACATCCCCAAGGTCACCTCCTTCCACTGTAGGATCGACAAAGCACCTTATCACCTATATGGTCGCTTTCAAGCACAAGGGGGCTATCCCTAAAAATGTTGTTTTGAGAAAATCTAAGCTTAAGTTTTCGGACCCTCGTTCAGTTTCTTTAAAAGACAAGGAGAGTTTTCTCTATAACCAAACAAATATACACACCAATGAAACCAAACTTCTCCTATAGGTAGGGCAATGCCCACTTTTGGTGCAGGTCAAGACTTCTGGAACCCCCCCAAAATCTGGGCTAGCCCGCTTGTCCTGAAAAGTGAAGATATCGCCCCACACAGGCAAAGCTGCATCTAGCATTGCTCCTGTCTATGGTTATAGAAAACAGAACGGCAAAAGGAATGAAAACCGTACCTGTCATTTATCATCTTGATACTCAAAACTGGCTCTTTTAACACAACTTTGGACAGCGGCCTTTCTTTCAACAGGTCCCACAAGACGACTGAAAACAAAAAAAGAAATGGTGGACATGGAAGGGCTGAAGTGAGATAATCCAAACAACAAACCAATCAGGGGGGGGGGGAGAATGTAGGAAGAGGCAAGCAGCAAACCACCGCTGGCATCCTCAAAGAACCAGACATCCAGCACAGTGTCATTATAATGGTAAAAAATGGCAAGGGGGGAAATAAGAACCACAACAGTAGACACTAGACATATAACATTAGTAAGCCTTTGATGACAGCACTTTATGTCAAATTGAAAAATAGTTTTCCTTAGCAATCATCAACACACTGGCCTGCCCCATCACTTATGAAAGCAAAGAACACCAAAAACTACTTTACCTGTACGGTCATCAATACACCTGCCCCATCACTTTTGAAAACACTACCAATAGCTACTTTACCTGTACGGTCATCAATACACCTGCCCCATCACTTATGAAAACACTACCAATAGCTACTTTACCTGTACGGTCATAACACTACCAATAACTACTTTACCTGTACGGTCATAACACTACCAAAAACTACTTTGCCTGTACGGTCATAACACTACCAAAAGCTACTTTACCTGTACGGTCAAAACACTAACAAAAGCTACTTTACCTGTACGGTCATCAAACAAAGGTCTGGCTCCACCGCTGACAAAAGCCACAATGTTGGACCGAAACCGCATCTCCACACACCTCACACTCCCAATCTTTGCTTCGCCTGAGGAAGTAAGTTGATAGAATTATGAGCATGGTATTTATTTAAGAAATTAATTTAATATAATTATGAACAAGGTATTCATTAAGAACAAAGTAAGATCTTCAACATATGTTAAATTTGCATACATTTAATATCTTAAATATTTTATAAATTATCAAATATTACTCAAAAATGATTTTTATCTTTAGTACAGGTTCCTGTGCAAGCAAATTATAAACATAACATTCAACTGTACAAACTGGTTCTTAAGGGGACTAGGTTCCTGCTCGGAGTTTTCTTAGGCAGACATCAGTGTATGATGTAATTTTATATATATATATATATAATCATGCATCGCAAAGGAACGATTTTCACAACGGAGCATTCTGTTTTAAGAACGCAAAAAAAATTACTTCCTCAGGACACTTTTGACTTCCTGAACGACAATCAAATCTGCGACCTCAACTCAAACGGGGCCTGTAAAACTATTCTTGCAGTTCAAAGAGTTGTAACATTCGGCTAACGTTTTATCAGGACCAGTTGTGCCATGTTCAAGGTGACCCAATCCCTATCCGAGGGTACTTTGTGAATTAAAGCATGACGCAAAAGCATAATTAATGTCACTTATTTTTTATACACACACCTTTAAAAGAAAAAAAGAAATTTAGAATTTCAAGTGATCAGAAGTCACTGCAACCTACCAACATGAGTAATCTGGACTAAAGGGTCCATGTGGAAGATTCTCAATCCATCGTCTGTCGCACATATAAAATACTCTGAAACAAAACAAAATCAAGCAGTTTATTTACCAGTGAACAGAACTAAATATATATATATAATAATTTTTAAAAAGATCAAAACAAAATTTTTAGGTTTAGTAAGTTTTTTACGGCACTTGCAACATAATGAGGTCATATAAGTGCCGAAGATTAGAGGAGTTACAAGAGAGTAACATAAACAAAATAGAAAGAGGGGAGATAAGGACGATAGATGTTTGATAGGAAAAAATGAGCAAACCACACCAGAGCACCTGCCAACCACCCACCAAAACAAAACAAAAATCTGTAACCTTTAACACTATTTCTTTCCAATGTATTCCTAGCTTATGACCAAACACATTCTGGTGAAATCAAAATGTAACATACAGATTTTTAGAAAAAAATTCAAACTTCAAGACTCAAATAATTTATGTTCTAAAAAGAAATTTTAAGAAATCAAACATCTTCCAAACAATCCAAGATATTTTTCTTTCACATACCTTGGTCCTGATTCAGTTTCACATTCATTACTTGTCGCGCCATCTTTCACTACAACAAAGGCAAAGTTCTCCAATCACAGAAAATACCACGGGTCAGATCCAGGCTCTTTTTTTACAGTGCTGAAACCTGAAACAAACATGAAAACAATTTTAAAAATTTAAGAAACAGCTTGGGAATACCGGGGTGGGGGTGGGGGGGGGGATGACACGTCTAGTCGAGTTTGAGGGAAGAGACGCTGCACATTGACACATCAATTGACACAATAATGGTCAGGCAGCACAGAAAAAATGCAAGACAAAAGTTGTAACCGTAGGAGTTTTACACTCCCATCAACGCTATTTAGATTACAGAAAAGAGATGGGCTGTTTTCATCCTGCCTGTCAGGATCAACTGGGACCGAACGGGGTGATACAACATTCCAACAGACAGACAATGAAAAGCTACCCACAAATGGAGGTTATAGTCAATCAGCTATTTACTCTTCATCTCTGGCAAGCCACTCCCAGCGACTCCCTGTTGGAACCGCTCCACTGTGCCGGTGAGCCACTGACAGCAGCAACCACCAAAAAATACAGGGCTTAGACTTATAATTTACAGACATTTCTATTAGAAACTACAAAACTTTAACCTCACAGCTCAAGCAACCATTTGGACAAAATGTGAGATTGCTCAGACAAAACTCAGTGGGGGTTACATTTTTGGCGAGCTAGCCGTAGTTTAGTCTGTAGTTTGCCCACAACCACAACTACAACTTAGAACTAGAACACACCTGCTTTAAGTCACTTGTTTACGGCGCTTGCAACTGCAAATAAGGTCATATCTGAGCATGCGGTACACATTTATTATAAACATTTTCAGTTTCATTGAGGAATTAATTTTGAACTTGACCCGGGTGGCGGTCGAAGCCTACTCTTATCGATTTTGAGCCACCAAAGAGATCTTAAGGTGCACAACTTGCACACAGGACCTCCGAAATTTTTCGCCCTTGTCCGAGAAAGCTAGGAGAAATATCTTATCTACCATAAAAGACCAGAGGGTGTGGCTGAAAGACAGCAGTAAGAAGGAGCCTAGGAGTAGCAGTAGAAAGGATGCAGAAAGAGTGAGGAGCTGTGGTCGCTAGTTTATGTTACTGAGTTCCTACCAAGATCTTGACTTCAACAACAAGAAAGAAATAATGGACATGGCCGATTAACTAGGCCCTGTGCTCAAAGGGAGTGTTGACGTATACGGTAACCGAGTACTTAGTTTTGAGGGCCCCTTGAGCTAGTAGGCCCATGGCCATGAACGAGGGTGGACCTGCCAGTTACCATACTATGACTATGATGTATGAAAACTCTGAGACTACGTGCCCTGTTACAATGTACGTAGACACTCCGGTACTCAAAACTACCTCTTGTAGATCTAGATCTAGTCCTGTTGTACTGCTGTAGTTAATAATTTTAATTGGCATCCTTATTTTTTTAAATATTTATAATCATAATCCCTTCACATTCTGGGAATGATTCCCAGTGTAGATCTATGCCATGCCATACTTTATTCCTTCAGTTTTAATAAGTCCAAACCCTTGCCCCTTACGCCTCAGCTTAAAGTACATTTTTATTTGAATTTCCCCCACCATCGTATCGGAGAAAACCTCGCAAAATCAAACAAAGACAAAGACAAAGAGATCGAAACCTGAAACTCGAGTTGGCGTGTTGTTGGTTGGGCCATGGTGTTGCTCTGACTGATTATTCAACCCAACTGTGTAACTCAGTGCCACAAACAACAGCATAGTAAATGGAAGCATACACAAATAAAATTCCTACCAAAGTAATCACAAAGTTCCCCTATAATCACAGCCAGGAGTCACAGCCGATCTGAAGGCATGCTATCTTGTCTAGGTGGTAGGTCCCCACCTCCGCTACACTTTTCGCTTTGTTGTTGTTTGTGAAGTCAGCTGGGGTCAAGTCACGTGATTTGCTTAGCTCATCAAAAATAAGGAATATTTTCTCCGAAACAAATACCTGGTGCTCAACTGAGTTGCGACGGCATTGGTATGGGGCGGTTATAACCTCGCTGTGAACTATAGTATTATTATGAACCTGTCCATGACCAAAAATTTAACTAGAATTATCGCATCTAAAAATAGATCTGGCTAAGCTAATTGAGAACATATCATTATATAAGTTGAAAGTTGAAAAACAGTCCGTCTTTTCGCGCCACAAAAAAGGATGCTTTTTACCTGAGGATACCGCGCGCTGTGTGTGTGTGTGTGTGTGTGTGTGTGTGTGTGTGTGTGTGTGTGTATGTGTGTGTGTATGTGTGTGTGTGTG